TCAGGGGAATGGAGAATAGGACAGAGGGTGGAACCCTGGGAATGGGGCTGCACCTGGGGCAGGTCTCCTCTCCAATTTAGCAAACAAGCAGCACCTGGGAGGCAGAACCCAGCTCGTCTACATTAACTGCACACAGCTGGGGACTGGGGGCGGGTTGCAGGATCACAGTTAATCTCTGGATCACATTTAAATATGGGCAAAATGAGGGGAATTAGTCAGGAGTGTCTGTGCTTACAAGCTCTGGTGCAATTAGGGTTGGCAGTTACTGGCCAAAGTAAGCCATTGCACCTGAGGAGTAAAAAACCAACTAAACAAACACAGAAAACATTTTGGGGCCCTTTGTGATCAGGCTGAAGGAGGTGGATGTGCGCCGAGCACAGGAGCAGCTTCACAAAGCCCCTGTCAGCTGCAGGCATTAACAGAACCACAAGGTTTTTACTTATTTCCCCCAAAGTCTGAGTTCTCCCTTTCCTTCAGAGCACACATATCCTAACTTGCCCCAGAAACTTTTTCCTCTTTCTAACACAGGCCTGGAAAATGGCATCAGCAGGAGCTGAGTGCCTGGGCAAGCATTGTCTGAGCCTTGGACAGGACAGGAAAGCCCTCTTAGACATTATCAGCTAAAAGGAGAGAGGAAAATCCTTCTTTCTTGAGTAAATTTTGTCTTTCTTGAGTAAATTCTGTCTTTCTTGAGTAAACTCTCTGTTGCTGGCAGCTTGGCAGATTCACTTCCCCTGTTTCTGTTGTTTTGACAGGAGGTGTGTCAAGTGAAAGCAGCCGAAGGCAGCAGCAGCCCCCACCCAGAGCCCGGGGCTGCAGCCACAGCATCCCCTGCCCCAGGCACCCCCCGGCCTGAGAGTGCAGGGAACTGACCCCACACACGCCAATAAACCTTTCCTTCAAATTAAACACTGTTTGGTGCCCGTTGTTTGAGAGAAAATGGTTCTGAAGATTTGCAAAAAAAGAACAAACACCCAGTTCACCTTGTGTGTCATCCAGCCCTGAGCTGGGAGAGTCAGCCTGGAGCTTCCCTCTGAGCCTGGAAAAGTGCTCTGCCAAAAATCAGCGCTGCGGTGCAGCAGTAAGAGAGACCAGCCAGGAGAGGGCAATCATTGACTATATTAAACAAGCAAACCACGCATTTCAGGAGTAACTGGGATATGCGGAAGGTGGAAACTGAGCTGGAACTGCGCAGCCTGAGGAAAAGGGGGTTCAGCTAAAAGGGAGCACCCAGTTCTCCTGACAGCTGACTGCCAGGAGGGACAGATGTTCCTGCCCAAAGCCTCTGGACCAGGCAAGTGCTCCCTGGTCATGTCCATCCACAGCTTGGTTTGCACACCATGTCTGACACTGAGAAATTACCCCCTGCCACAGGGAAGGGGTACTAATCCAACCCTGCCTGGAGTTTTAGTTTTCAGAGAAAACGTCACAATTCCTGATTTCTCAGCAAGCTCAACACCCTGGAGATGAGAAGTGCCAAGGCTGACATTGCTGTCCATGCTTCCAGCACACCCCTGCCGGCATCAGGCATCTTATCCCAGCCCCAAAGGGGGGACAGCACCATCACTGCCATTGTAAAATGGGCACCTGCAACTAGAGACTGCTGCTGCTGCATGGCTGGAGAGTAATTCTGTCTCAGCTCTTAATTAAGCACTGAAAATATCTCTCTTCCTTAAAAAGGAAGAAAATGAGAGAAGCCAGAGGGAAGGCTGCAATGAGCTCTGTGACTCCCCCTGGAGCTCCAGGGTGCTCTGTCTCTGTCCAACTGCCTTTACCAGGCAGAATTTCAGTGTTAAGGCTTTGGAGCAACTGCTCAAGCAAAAATGAATTTTATAAGATCACAGAATCATTAAAGTTGGAGAAGACTCCAAGGTCAAGTCCAACCTGTGACCAATCCCTCCCCTTGTCAACCAGAGCAGAGCACTGAGCACCACTCCAGTCACTCCTTGGACACTTTCCATGGATGGGGACCCCACCACCTCCCTGGGTAGCCCCTTTTAATCTTGACAAATCTTTCGGTGAAGAAATTCCTCCTGATGTCCAGTCTGAACCTCCCCTGGCATAGCTTGAGGCCATTCCCTCTCCTGCTGCCCCCTGTTCCCTGGGAGCAGAGCCTGACTGCACCCTCCTGTGTCAGGGAATTGTAGAGAAGGTGCCCCCAATATTGCTTTCTGCAAGATAAAAAATAAGTCCAGCCCATTCCCTCCAGGATTTGAGGCACAGGGAGCCAGCCAGCCCTTGTTTCACCCACCTCTTTATCAGCTTGTGATGTGAAACACAACTCCCACAACCTCTCCTGAGGGCAGGGGGCTGAGGGGATGCTGGCAGCACCTTCAGGGCTGCAGTTCAAGGGCCCATCTCAGCTGACACCACTGCAGAGCTGTGGCTCAGATTACAAAATCCCAGACTTTATGAGCAGATTTATAGCTGAATAAAAGCCTTGAATTACAGTAGGAGACATAAGGAACAAACAAAGCCAGTCTGGCCCCCAGAGCAAGTTTTGTTAACCAAATCAGAGGCCACTTGCACTACCAGCTGTGGCTCCTGAATGACCTTCAAGGGCAGCTCCTGGCTGGGTTGTTTTTCATGAAAAAAACTTGCACAAAAAGCCTTTATTTTGGAAATGGTATAAGCCAGGTTCTTTCAAGGGGATAATTGGACTGCAGAGCTTTGTTTTTTCTGGGAAATTCACTTCTCTGAACAGAGTGTTGTGGATACTGCAGAGGTGAGCAAAGTCCAGCAATACCCAGAAAGGTAAACAGAGTCTGAACATCCCTGACTCATCACCACTATCACCAGCCTTGATCTTGCTGGCTTTGTTTTTAAGAATTCTGCTCTCCCATGTCCTCAGTGAGAATCCTTCTCACTGGCAGTGTCCTTGGTGAGAATTACCCCAGGAAGAGTCTGGCCCCAAAGAGCACCAATAAACCAGAGAAAGAGATGGAGACACGGTATCTCTTTATCAGACCTTTATTAGCAGACTGTTCCCTACATGAAGAATCCGAGTTAGATTTGCATTATAACAATTTGTGGTTACAGCTACAAAGATGGTTGTCATTTTGCATTGATTTTTGCATTCTGATATTCATATTCTCATTAGGCCACACTGGTAGGAAGGAGCCACTGCAGAATTTAGGTCTCAGGAAGAGGGGGGTGAAAAAAAAATCATATCACTAATCCATTGTTGGTTAGATTTCCACGTGGCTACAGCACTGAAAGTGAAGGCAGAGTCTCACCTGGGAGACTCCATGAACCACCAAAATCTGTCAGAAACAAAGCAGCTGTTTGAGTGCTAGCAAATCCTTTTCCAATTTCTCACACACATCTCCACAGTGTCCTCCTGCACGTGATGAGCACTGGCTCAGAGCAGGGGCTGCTGATTCAGCCTCGAAGCACAACTGTAGCAGCTCGTGTCCAAGTGCAAGTTTCCTTCCATCCCTCTGGAAATGTGTATTGTCTTTAGTCCCTGAGATTTCTCTCTTCCCCCTTTACCTCAAAACTCCCCCAAGCTCTCTTAATTGACTGTTGTGACATCCAACATCCACACACCTTCCACTTCCCACCTTCAGCCATCCCCCCAAGCCCTTCTGTGTGCACAGAGGCCATTCCAAGCTAAGGCGAGCCTCACAGTGCACCCTCTCCCCAAGCTTCTGCTTCCTCATCTGCTCCCTTCTCTCCTATGGCTTCTTGCTACACAATTTCTCTGGGCTGAGGTCCTCCAGCAACAAACCCAGACGTGGGAAAGGCAGTTCCAGCCCCACAAGTGATTTCAGCATCCCTCCCCATGACTCAGCTGTGTGATGCAAAAGAACTAATAGAGAACTTCTTAAAACAGGAGAAATACAAGCACAGTAACAATATTTAAACAAACCTATAAAAATAGTCTGAAATAACTCTGTTCAAATAAATACAAAATAAATATGCTTTAAGCAGTAAAACAGTGGAATGCAACGCTGGTCCATTTTACCCAAAATGAAAAGTTGGGTGAGGATCTCTCAGGCCTCAGCAGCTGGATCCTATTAACTAAAGCAGCCCATAATGCTATCAGAGAAATTTTAAAGCCATCTCTTTCCCTTAGCCTTATGAAAAGCACCCTTTGAAAGGCAAGCAAGCATGTCCTCAGGACTGAAATCTCCCCTCTCCCAGTGACAGCCCCTCTCCCTAACACCCCTTCCCACAGCAGACATTCCTGACTTGGGGCCTGCACGGCACCAATGGAAACCTGAACGTGGATCTACCAAGAGGTCTAAAGAGATAAGATAGCAGCATAGGCACGGGGTTTGGAAAAGGTTCACGAGCTCTCCTTGGCACCAGGCAGGCTGGGATGGTCCATGCAGTGCTGTGCAGGGGCTCTCCTGTCGTGCTGGGAGCACAGCTGCACAGGAGCTGTGCTTGTTTTGTCTTTGTTCACCAAAGCCATGCATCACAGTGCCGGGCAGCCCAGGGCTCTCCTCCTGCCCCTTTCCAAGCCCCTGCAGAGAATAAGACAAGCCAACCCCGGCATGCAAAGGATACAGGCATGCAGGCTCTAGTCTGCTGCTTCTGTTAGTAAGTGCATCTTGTTAGTGGGTTTATGAGACACACTTAAACCTAGAAAAAATAAATAATCCTAATTCTTCATCAGGCTGGCTTAAGTAACCTTCAGCCTGGCTGGATAAACCACTGCCCACCAGCCCTCCAAACCAGTATAGATCAAAGTTACATTTCATGTCAATTCTTGGAAGCAGAACATGAATGTCTCCCACCCGAAGGAATATTTGTAAACATAACAAGCCTGGTGTGGCAGCAGCTCCTACACAAGGTTTGTACAAATTTTAACAATGGGCAGGAAGTTAAACAACTGAATGGAAAAAGCAGCTCTCTGAATGGAAAAAGAAGCTCTTTCAGCAAGTCAGAAGGTGCTCATCTGTAGGCAAACAGCTCTGTACAGGCAACACGCCGAGAGCAGACCTGTAACCCAAATCTTTGCTACTCTGTCATACTGCTGGGAACTGACCTCAGCAACTCCCAGGAGTTCAGCTCCTGGTCTCCCAAAAGGCCCAACAAAAAGGACCCCATGATGGTTTATGTGGAGCTCTGAGTAGCAAGATGGCAAAGGACACCAGATCCTCCCCTCCCCGTTCCTTACTGACTCACAATCTGAGATTTCACAGCTTTGCTTAGTCAGCTTAGTGTCGACACATTCACAGAATGAGAGATGGCTTATATGTCTTGGGATTGCATCCCAAGATTTCAGAGTTCCAAGTCCTCAGCATCTCCTGGTCACCGTGAGTCCACGCCCAGAGTCATCTTCAAGTTCTCATAGACCACGTAGCTGATGCTCACAGCTGGGATCACCTTCATGAAGTTGGGTGCCAGGCCCCGGTAAAGCCCAAACGCTCCCTCTGTCTTCAGGATGTGTTTGAACAGTCCCCTCATGGTCACTTCAGGAGCACCCTCCACTGAAGCTGCAATAGGGAAAGCCACAATAAATAATGCAGCCTATGTGGTGAAAACGCTTTTGTTTCCAAGAGCAGTACTGATCCATGTGCTTTCAGATGTTCCCAGAGCAAAGGTGCTTTGTGGGGGACAGCATTAATTTCTCAGCTGCCCATTCTGTGCTGCACACTGCAAGTATTTTCTCAAACTGCTCTGCAGATGCCCTCAGCCCAGAACTGCTGATCTGAGCAAAACAGAACCTCTGTCCTGGAGGTCCTTGAGCTCAGAGGTCAGAAGGGCAGCACAAAGTCCAGTGTGCCCTTGCAGCATCACAAACAGCCCTTGGCTCAGCTGTGGGGGCCAGCACAGGCTATTGTTGCAATGCTGACACTAAAAAACTTAGCCTTGCTCAAAAACAAAGGCAGGAGTTTGTAGCCATGACATTTTCTGAAAAATCCCTTTGCTGGGATTTTTCCTCCTGAGAGACTGAGAGGCCTCAGGAACAAAATGTAAGCAATAATTATCTGCTGCTGTGGAATGCAACAGGTGCATCTTTGATTGGTCTCATGCGATTGTTTCTAATTAATGACCAATCACAGTCCAGCTGTCTTGGACTCTCAGTCAGACACAAGCTTTTGTTATTCATTCCATTCTTGTTCCATTCCCTGCTAGCCTTCTGATGAAATCTATGAAATGTAATCTAATGAAATCTTCTATTGTTTTAGGATAGTTTTAAAATAATAATATATTAATATATATTATATAATATATAATTTTATATAAAATATAGAATAATGTATAATAAAAATAATAATATAATAATATATTAAGATAGTATCATTTTAAAATATATATTTTATAAAATAATAAACCAGCCTTCTGAAACATGGAGTCAGCATTCTCATCTCTTCCCTGGGGGTCCTGGGACCCCTGCAAACACCACCACAGCAGCTCCCACTGTTCCAGAACTCTCACCTTGGGCCTGCATGCGTGTCCTCACAAGGGCCAGAGGGTAACTGGCCAGCTGCCCACAGGTGCTGGAGATGGTGCCACAGGCCAGCAGGACAAAGACCCCGGGGTCAGCGCTGTTGACGGCGTAGCGTTGCAACCAGGTGTTTTTTAGTGTCTGGAAGGAACAAGGCCAAGGTCAGCAGGGAAGAGGCAAGTAAAGGAGTATCACATTTCATGAATGATCTAGAGTAAAGGCCCAGAAAGTTCCAGGCAAGTTCAGCCAAAAGCACAGGGTTTCTCAAATCTTTTTGAGCTGCTGTTGCTGTAGTGCCTGGGGAAAATCCCTCCTTTAATTTTCTGCTGCAATTTTCTCATGAAGAAAAGGAACAAGGGGCCATGCATGATGCTGACTATGGTTTATGAACTAGAATAACCACATTGGATTATCTTTTAAACCATTTTGGGGTAAAAAAAATACATTTGTGCCCACATAAGTTGTTCAAGTAAGCTTTGATAAATTACTTGAACTCCTGTTGTGACTGATAGGTCTGACAGTGATAAGGCCACACAAGCAGCACAGCCCTACAATAGGCTAACAATAACATAAAACATAATATCATAATTGTTAGGCTTAACCTAACAATAGGTTAAAGGCTTCATACCTCATAGACTGCCAGGTCAATCCCAGCATATGGAATGATTCCCAGCATGTTGGGGATGTAGCCTTTGTAGAAGGCAGCCATTCCTTCCTTTGCAAGGATGTTTTTGGCACAATCCAACATGCCTGAATATTGCCCTGTCTTTCTCAGAGCCATCCGTGTTTTCAGAACCTGGAGGACAAGAATAAATAGCATGAAGGCCTACAGGAGAATCAGCAGGAGAACAATGTACAAAGTCATTCCTAGGAGCACAACTGTCAGGACCACAGCAAGTGTCCTGCAAGCAGTACTGCTTGGTACCACCTCTGAGAACTCATTAATTAATTATCACAGTGATGGTGTGATAATTTTCCCACATTTTCCCACCCACAAGCCTCCTGGGCTGGACTCAGCCTCCTGCCTCACCTCCATGGGGTAGATGCTGCTCTGTGCAATGGCCCCAGCCAGAGAACCAGCCAGGAGCCTCTCGTGGATCCTCAGCATTTCCTGGTCGGTGCCGATGAACCGCTTGATCTGCACAAACCACAACAGACAGACAGACAGTGAGACAGACTGATCTCAGCCATCGCTTTCTTTCCAGCTTGCTCTGCACTCACAGCTGAGCCCTCACCTGCTCATAGGCCATGAACTTGATGGCTGACTCGGGGGCAATCTTGAGCACGTTGATGCCGTTGCCCCTCCACAGTGAGCGGGGGCCGCCCTCGCGGATCATCTGCGTGAAGCCGCCGACGATGCACATGTTGTTACTGCGCGAGGCGTGCACCTGGACAGGGACAAGCCACAAGCCTGCATCAGTTCCAGCCCCACTACGACAGTGCAACGTTTTTCTGTAATCCAGGGACAAAAGGGCGCTTTTTTGTTTACCCAGAGAGCTGCCAAGGCTTTAATCCCTTCCAGATAACTTCGACAATGGGAAAGCAAGCTTCTTTTCTTTTTTGCCAAGTCTAGCGTTAACTAATCAATCTAATCAATATCTCCCTCTGGAATGGGAGGAAAGGTTAAAAAGGCAACTGTCTTGGCTTTTTCCCATACCTAGCAGAGGATCAACTACCCATCAACTTCTCAGCTGGTTCTAGAGCAGTGACAAAGCAGGCGAAAATCAAAATTTTCCAACTCCTTCCTAATGCTGAAAATACTGAATACAAGCTCTGCCAACTGACCACCACATTCACTTCAACTCTTATGGCCTCAAGGTCTCTCAAATGAACGCAGGATTTTAATCTGTTTCACCAAAACCCAAGTTTTCCATATTATTACCAGCAATTTTGACATGTCTACCTCAAAAAAAATTCTCTGTAATTTTTCTAGTCAATGAATAATAACTTTTTAATATTACTTTGATCACTTAAATAATTCAAAATGCTTTTAAAAACAGTAATAAAAGAACGACAAGATTAACGTTGGCCAGAGTGCTGCACTGTGTTGATGAACATTATTACCATAACTATTAAAGGAATCTGGTATTTAAACAAACTGGAACTGCTCCATCTTACCTGCATGAGCACTTTCAAACGGTCCAAGGGAGCTGTGCAGGTTCTGGACACGGCACCTGCACCTCCACCTGCAACCAGATGTCTCCACCACATCCCTGTCTGCCTCTCTTCCACTGTGAACTCATCAGGGACAGTCAAATTCTCTCCCACATCGAAGATCTGCAAAAGGAGAAGGTATTGAGAAATGCTTCATCAGCCAGTGATCTTGCTGAAGTTTTACTGCTCTTTCCTAGCAGCAGGTGCTCAAGCACAGGATCTGCTTATTCCAGGCCAGCAGCTTATCTACAGCCACTAACTGCTGTGCCTGGCCACAGGAGCTGCCATGCTAGGACATGTCACAGGGGAAACTGAGTTCTGATTTCAGGATTTCTCTCCAAGATCCTGGCAACTGCTGAACATTTGTCTACACCAAAATACTGCAGGTATTTAGGAACAAACTGACCCACGGCAGGCAGCTGCATGGCAGAAAAGCTGGACCTCTCCAGAACCTTCCAAGCTGGCAGCCTGCTAAATCTCATTAAGTACTATTCACAAACAGATAACTCCAGGAAGGATGGCTGCCTCTGGAATCCGGTTCTAGTTTTAACAGGTCCTGAACCAGCTGGGGCTGGCCCCTGGCAGGAGCTCCTGGAGGTGCACACCAAGAGAACACCCTCAGCTCCCTGCAGTACTGCAGTCATCATCGCCTGTGCCAGCACCTGTGACAGTGATATGTGGCAAGATTACAGCAGAGGACAGGAAGCAATTGAGCTTCAAGGGCTACAGGGAAGCTGTGAACCATGAAGAGAAAGATAAGAACTGCTGATAGCAGCTCCTGGGGGCCAGGACTTGGACCAAGAAGCTGGGCAAAGACTGAGACCTGTTTTTCTTACCGTGGAGTGCTTCCAGTACAGGATGATTTCAGGAATGTTCTCCACGGGGTGCAGCAGGTGATAGTCTCTCCACTCATTCCAATCAATTGTCATTGTCCCATTTTTATCCATGCTAAAAAGATTGATCATCAGGTGAGTACAGACTCCCACTGGGTGACAAATTCCTCCTCCCCTTCCCTTTGATTATGCAAGCCTACACCAAATAGAGCTTTGCAAAGCAACCACTAAAAGACTTCTAAAGAAACACAAGACAAAGCTAGGAAACCTTCTGTTCACCAAACAATGCTGAGGTAGAAGTGGGCTCTCTCTTTCCTCCCCTCTCTCTCCCTTCTAACCAGCCCACAACAATATTTGCAACCCTTCTACCAAATTCAGGGACATAACTGACACTGAAGGGAAAATAATACTTACTAGGTGACAGGACCCCAGAAGTGTCCCGTCCTTATTCTGACACACAGGCAAACAGACAGAGGGAAGGTAGCAGAGGAAAAAAAGAGGAAAAAAACAGCACAAATAAGTGGTTGTTAACATGTTAGTGCCACATGCATAAAGCACTTAGCATTTCCAAAGAGCAACTGCACAGTCCCTCTCCACAGCAGCAAGCTCAGGGCAGCAGGACAGTCAGACAGGGATGCAAATCAGCTTAGGTGCAAGCACTTCCCCTCAACAGGTCAGGGAGAGGCTCTGACAGTAAGTCTCAATAAAGCATTATGATTTTATATTTGTATGCCAATTCACAGGGAGAAATCAAAACAGAAAGTAACAGGAAAAAAGGGAGGAACCAAAGTCTCTGGAAAGTGCATACAGGGGGAAAAGGGAGGCTTCCATGTCCCTATATTTCTTTCTAGTTCCCTTGACATAAAACAGAAAAACCAGAGGAATCTTCACCTCTTCAGTATTTTCTCAGCCTGCTGTTCAGAGATCTTGACCCCCAGGTCCCGCAGGGACTGGACAATCTCCTGGGCATCGATGCGGCCTGGGAAGATAATCCAGAGAGCTCAAGGATACACATCACAGGCTGACACGTGCACCAGTCCACCCTGAGCATGAGAAAGGTGCCTACCATCATTCTTTTTATCCAGACTCTTGAAAACCAGTCTCAGCTTCTTTTCATGGTCCTGGAGATAGTGAACAAATTCCTCAAAATCCAGCTGTCCATCCAGGTCTTTGTCTCCAGCCTTCACAATTTTCTGTTCAGAAAACAACCAAGAACTGTCAGTTCCTTTGTTCACTCAGACAGATCTATCTCCCCTTCTACCATCTTTAAAACATTTCCCACACAACTTTGACTTTTTCTCCAAAAAGTAGCTGACAGAACTGTAATTCTTCTAATAGAGTTGAGCAATGCCATAGCATACAAAAGTCACCTGATTCCAACTGTTTCCCAAAGTCCATTACACAGATGAAATGCCTCATGTTTTTATGAGGGATATTATGCTAGTGTCCTGTGTCTAATCTCAGGACTGTACCTTGATTAACATATTGCAAAGTCCTTGTGGAGGTTGAGATTCTAGAACTAAGTATGAGTCAACAGATCTGCATAAAAAGTGAATCACAAAACTTGAGCTTATAAAAATAAACTGAACAGGAGAAGGAATTCCATGCCTACTACAATCCTTAGAGAAGTAAGCTCCCTCTGGCAGTAACTAACTCCAGCCAGCACAATCCTGTCCAGCTCTAGTGAACACAGCCAAAGATAAAAACCTTTTGTGAACTCGTTTAGGCACCCTGAAGCTACGTGCTTTAATTACACAAGTTTCCATGAGATGCATATAGAGCAAGAATCGGTTCTTAGTAGGACAAAGCTAAAATCAAGATCAAACTGTGCCAGACATCTAGGACAAGGTAAATGACTAATTAACTAACTGCAACTCAGTGAGGCAAGAGCCCGTGGACTGTCCTCTCTAAGGGCACATGGCTGCAGGTTGACAGGTGAGGTGATCTCCAGACTTCAAGAATGTGGCTCAGGGAGTTCCTATTCCCCTTCTGATTCAGTCACTTGCCTTTGACAGCCTTTAAGTCTTGTCCAACATCAGTGAGCAACACTCAATTAGGTGTGATTCAGTCTAGTGTATCACCCAAAGTTTTGTTTTAATTCTTGTAACATTTATGTTAATAGCAGATGGGTTGTTAAGGAAGCTCTGAGCTGAGATGAAATGGGTTAACCCTCTGTTCACCAATATCTTGTTCAATATTTATCATTCAAAGTATTAGGCAAGCCTAAACTCACTGTGATATGTGCTCGGTCTATGACCACTGGTCCCCTTCATAAGCCGTAAGTCTTTGTTTCAATGTCATTTTAAATTACTCCAGTACTAAATAATTCGTTATTGAAACGCTCTCCCTCACCCAGCAAGTCCTGCCTCTTTAGCCCTAATGCTAGGAGGATTATTCCTAATCACTTTATGCACCTTAAATAAGAAAGTGCTGTCCCAGCTGCCCTGACCTCCAAGGCATGCCCAGTATTCCCACCCTGCCATTTATCATATGACTGTTGTGAAGTTCAGATACGACCTCACATTCAACTGGTGGGCTAAATATAGACCAACACCCCTCTGCTGTCAGCACATGGCTTGAACAGCTGAATCAGGGCTTCCCTCTCACTGGCAACCCCCAACCAGTTGACAGGCATTCATAATTCGGAGGCACTGTAACAGAGATGTGACTCTGCAACTGCTCCCTCTCTCTCAGCTGCAAAAATGCAGCCTGAGAGATCAGAGACTGCAGGCAATAAAAGCTTTGCCCTTCCTCCCCCACAGCCAGAGCACAGAAACGCTGCCTGCATGACAGTAACCCTCAGCACACGTGTGAGGGGTGAGAAAGCCAAGCTCCCAGCATCTCCTCTGCAGGTGTGAACAAGTATCTGCCTGCACCTCTTCACTTTCAACATGAAATCTGGCTGGCCATTAACAGCTATTTTGGCTGCAGAAGTTCCTGTGGTCACCACACACCTTCCAGCCTGCTGTCCATGTCCTTTCAGAGGTGTAAAAAGCCTCCCCTGCTTGGCTGATCAATAATCAGCTCTCTGGGCTCTTGACAGCCTGAGCATGGAAAAAAAAATAGCAGCAAGATGAAAGGAAGAGCTGTGACACACCAGGATGGGAAACTCCACGGATTTAGCACATGTCCCTTGCACAGCAAAGCAAAAGGGTCTTGCATAACCTTCCCCAGCTCAGCCCACCCACCCTGGCTGAGTCACTCGCTGAGCTGCTCTCCTCCTCCCAGCACAAACCTGCTCACCTTCCCCAGCTTCAGCTGACTCCTCATTCCAGCCCTGCTGTCAAGAGGAGGCATGTGGAAGGATGTAAGGAAGAGGAAGAGGATGTGAAATGCTGTATCTGAACAGACTCATAGAAGCAGAAGACTCCATAGTTTGGAAAACCCCTTTTTTCTATTTAACTCACATCAACTGTTTTAAACAGTCTTATAGGCACTGAGACCTCATCCAATTCAAAACAAAAGAATCAAAAAGAAAACAAAAGAATCACTCCACGCTGGTTCAGCAATCCCTGCCAAGGGGCACGAGAAGCATTTCCATGCTTCACTCAGTTATTACAACAGAGCCATCACAACCTTCTCCCCCTCTCAAGCAAGCCACTAAATGTATTAAACACCACCTCCTTCCCTTCTATCCCTCTCTTACGGCCATACCTGCTTCCACTGGCGGTAGGTGGAGAATTCCTGGGAAGGAATGAGGAGACTGAGTCGGAAGATGGATTTGAGTTCGGCCGGCAGCCCCTTCGACTCAAAGTACTCAAACTCCGTCTGCCTCTCCCCGAACACCGGCACGTACAGACAGAGGCAGAGCATCTTCGGAGCCCAGCACTCGCTGCCCTGCTCACTGCGACCGGCGAGGAAGGGACGTCAAAGTGAGCGATTCCCCGGAGCTAATTTCAGCAGCGAGCGGAAAGGAAATGCCAGCGAGTCTCATGACACACGCCTATGAGCGAGCCGGCTCCGGCGGGATTGGCTGCACAAGCCCGGCCCTTCTGCTTAAAAGGGAACCGGGGCCGCCGGTCCCGCCCAGCGGTGCCGGGACACACGGGACACACGTGAGCGCTGCCATTGCCCAACACCCGGCTCCCCTCACACCTTACATCACAGCCCTGCGCTGAACTCTCACTGCGGGCCTCTTAACCCGCGGCCCCTGGCCAAGGGCCAGCACACTCTGGCTGTGCCTTACAGCTGATCAGTCCTTTCCTGATCCTGTTCTCACCTCTGTGGGGATTTGTACAGGTAGCAGTCTTGATCACAACCTCTCCCGTCACAGTCCCATCAGGAGGACTATCGCTGCCTTCCCAAAATTATTTTTTAAAAGTGCAGTAAGAACAGGATGCCAGCCACTTACTGTTTGAGCATAGCCAGCTTAAGCAGAAGTCTTCCACTTTTACGAAGTTATTTTATTATGCCAGAGTTGACTGGCTTTGTTTGCAAGTTCTCCTGAAACCACTTGTGCCAGCTAAGAGCAGACAACCCCTGCACACAAAGATCTCTCCCCTCTGTAGCACTCCAGTTACCAACACAGCAGCAATAAAGCCTGTGGAGGTTTGTCATCGAGCCAAATACAGAGAAAATCACCCAAATCAAGGGCGGCCTTCAAAACAGCCCCAGCTGCTCCTAAGCCTCCTAGCTAAGCATCCACACAGCAGTTACACCAGCTTAATTTTTTTCATCCTCTTCTGACTCCAATTAAACATTGCAATCATTTGTGTGCTACAAGAAGTGTCCTGGGCAGAACAATTTTCCAGTTTGTACCCTTGACAGTTTAACTGCTTTGTAAGCAGTTCCTGAGCTCTCATTAGGAGCAAGCCAGGCTGGAGGGAGTGTGGCACAAGCACCATTTAGTGCAGGTATAATTACAGCTTCCTGAGCATTTGGTGGAGTCTGAGGTACAGATAACACCTAGCTCTCCAGAGAGAGTACCAATGTGCAGGAGGTAACAATGCTGTTCAGGACAGAATCACTGACTGCTGACATCATTTTTAAATAAAGTTACAGTCTTGGTATTAATCAAAGAGAAGTTATCACGCAGGGAAGATGCAAAAAGCCACAGCCCATAACCCAAACACTGAAATCCTATCTGCAGCAGAAGTAACAAAGTGTGTTTGCTGAACTGGTTCAAGCCAGCCAGGATAACAGCCTTGCCCAGTGCTGCGGACACAGCAACATTTTCGAGTGCTGGTTGTGTTTGAACAGCCTGCCTGCCCGAGCAAAGTCCAAGCAGCTCTCCCCTCCTCAGGCCCTCATGCCCAGGGTGCCTGCACGTCTTTGCCGTGGTGTTTTGTTCTCTGCAGCAAAGCCAAGGTCTGTAATGAGCTGCTCATGGAGCTGCATGTCAATCACACCAACTGGGAATATTTAATCTCTGGCTTCATTTCAAGGATTTATTTTTTTTAAAAAAAGCTTAATGGATCACGACCCACAGCAACTCAGTACCCTTGGGATTCGTGACCTACAGTGGTGTCCTCTGCCCTTCCTGGGGCACCTCACCTACCATGGCACCACGGCCAGGTTACCTAACTAGGCTTAACCTACTCCCTGCTGACGTCTCTCTGCATGAAAACAGGATCTTCTCAGGGACTCCAGATCCTCTTAAAGATCAGCTGCTGCAGCAGCTCGCTGCATGCATGCCCACAGCACAGCCCAGCCTTCCCACCAAGGCCAGTCCCACTGCAAGCAGCCCCCTAATGATACCTACACCCCACTGTTCAACACCAAACACCCCCAGAGAGGGGAGCAGAGTGGGTACCCCCAGCAACAGGCAGTAAGTGAACAAATCTAACTCAGATTTGCTTCACAAAGCCTTAAGATCCTCCGTAGTCCTTCCCACGAGTTGCCAAGCATCACTATTATAGCTGCTTGGCAGCTCAGTTGCTATGCCAACATGATGCAGATTTTCCTAAGAAACTCTGTTTGGACTTGGCAGCTAGAGACAAAAGGCAAAATCGGCCACATTTTAGGAAAAAAAGCCCTTCTACCTACGTCAGAGGAAAGGAGAAAGCTAATGAAGTTAAAGCTGATTTTAAGCAGGGTATTAATTACAGAACAGTGAGCTAAGAAGGAGAGACAGATTACAAATGAAGTTTATACCAGCAATTCAGGTTATAATGACAAAGGGAACTTAAGTATTAAGAAGTTTTTATATTTCAGCTTTAAAAATCCTGGTAAAGCTGGAAATACTCAGGAGCCAGGCAGCTCTCCAAAGCTGCAGGGATCAGTGCTGCTGGGACACTGGCGTGGGGTCAGTGGCCACATCTCAGCACACACAGAGCCAGTGCCACTGCCCCAGCACCTGCAGGCAGCAGCACACACAGCTCAGGGCACCAGCTATGGACAGTACATCCCTCATTAGCTCTGTCTATTCCTGACCAAAGCAAGGACAGGGCACAGAGCTCAAATGAAGTCACTCCTCCCTGATATTTCCATCCACTGATCCCGACACTGAACCCACACATTGCTGGGCCATGTGGAGCCAGCCAGGCTAATACCCTCTGCAGTTTCCTTGATGACAAGAAAAGTGAGCCATGAAGGAAGGCAAACACAGCTTTCTCCCTTTAGCAAACTCATTTTCATTTTATTTATAGGATTTGGTTCTCTTAAATGCTGCATGAGGTACCAGTTTCCATACCCTGCCATCCCTGCTAACCTTTACAAGTCTTTTGGACACTTCTGGTCATCTGCTTCATCACTGGTTTACTACATCACCTCCAGAATGCACCTCCCAAGGGATGGAAAGATGCAGCCATACAAGGAGCAGGAAAGTATGCTGTTTAATTTTGAATTTACTTTGCTAAAAAAAAGGCTCTAAAAATACCAAGTACCAGCAAGCGTCACAGTCACGTAACATCCTCCTTCAGAGGCAAAACAGCTCTCTGGGCTCCAACCCCATTGCTAGAAGGTTTCACTGGGTTCTGCTGACTTGGTCTTTTTCAATTTCTGGAAACTAGCTTATAATTAATTGGACAGTACAGAAAGTCCTCACAAAGCACAGAGAGTGTACAGTGTATGAAGGAGGGGAGTTAATGATTTAAGAGACCCCAGCAGAGTAAAGAGCTGCAACCAGCCCAGCTTTGCCAGGGGAGGGATAAGAGAGCAGGCACAGCAGAGAGCACTATGTGATATTCGACATAAAGGTGACCAGGGAAGGTGACCTGTTCCACCAACAACACACGGATCCAAAGTTACAAGTCCAGATGGTGACATCAGGGGCAGATCATGCCTGTTTCCTGTGTACACAGATCCAGGGCCAGCATAACACATTTGCAATCAGTGTTTTCTCCCCATATTTGCAATAACAGCCTCACGTTGGAACAGCTTGGAACAGGTAAACATCTGAGGAGGAACACAGCAATAACAAGACTGAAGAACCAAGGCAGGAAGCCCCTCCAGTGAAGTTTATGGATACACATCAATTCCCTACAGAAACCCCAGTACCAGGTGTGGTATTTTGTGTGGTTTTAGAAGAGAAGTAGTAACAGGTGTTTTTACAAAATGAGTGGCCTATCAATCAAGAGACTGCTCCCAAGGTTACAGTCAGCCAGTGGCAGAGAACAAAAGCCCCCATTTTCTATTAGCACTAAATAACACTCTTTGCTCACTGTGCTTTATTATCTATCCCTAAGGCTGTATGAGACTTTTCCCAAAGTCTCTTCTCCTTCAGCCAAGTAATTGGAACACTGATATCTGATCAAGCACAAACAAGTCATTGCATCTTAACAAGTTACTTACTGTCCATCAGCTGAGCCATGGGCTGGATGAAGCATAAGCCAGCCTGAATTGCAAGGTGAAACATATCTGCATAATCCTCAACAGAAGAGCTTTACACTGCACTTTACTTTACAATCAGGGCAAGCTAAAATTACACAGTCACAACCTCCTGGCAGATGGGCAGTTACTTGCTAAGATGCAATAACTCCATTTTACCACATCTTTATCCTCTAGGTATTTCTCCATCAGCCAATCCTACGGTTCCTATGCAGCAAAACTTCCCAGGGTCACACAGGAAAGAGGAGATTGGTATCAGCTTTCAGAGAAAGCTTTATTTCCAGGTGTGAGCAGATGGACTCTCCCTGACAGAGAGACCATTGTTCTCTGGAAGACACCAGAGATTTTCAGCCCTGTAATTCCAAGGTTTTCGTCAGCACTTCCTTCAGTTCTGAGCCTCTGTCCTTCTTCAACCTCTGTGCACCAAAGTCCTCCTGAAAACGCGCATGCTCCTTTTTTGGAAGGGGATGCACAGTGCTAACTGCTAAGGATAGAGATGAAGGCAAAAGTCCCTGCAGATTTTTCAGCCTGATTCAAGCAGGGAGTGGCTTCTGCTCCCCAGAATGTGAAATGCCGCCCTGCTTGTTTCCATTCAAAACAGCAGCAGAACAGATATTAATCCTCTCTACAATTTAAACCTGTTCATCCCCCAATTTAAAGAGAAAGCTCACAGCAACAACCATGTTAAATTCCCTGTGAAATAAACTGGATTCTGAAAGTCACACACCCCTATCCTTGCTGCAGCCCTTCAGTATCATCCCCACCCTTCACAGGCCTTACACCCAACTCCTTCCTCCCTAATCCCAGCTCACACCCTTGGTTTTAAACCACATGTAGTCAGAGCTGACTGCACCATCCTCAGGGGACACAGACAGCACTCCCTCCATTAAATAAGCCAGAAATGCAGTCGGCCAGCACTGTGATGGGAGCTCCAGCACTAAACTAAGCAGCTTTTGTTCACCTCCCCCCAAACAAAGCCTCACCATTTATTCTCTGCCAACTGAGTGCCCCCACCACCTCCCCACTCTCCCATCCCCTGGGAACTTCCCACCCTCACGCAGATTTCAGTCTCTCCCTTATGCCACCCGCTCCCCAGGGACAGTCTTTACTCTCTTCCGGGCTCTGCCATTCAAATAATTCAGCCAGTTATTCATTTGCTCAAAATATGCAAGTTTTACCAAAGGCTTGCCAAATTACCAGAGACTGACTCCAGAACATTTTAGGATGCATTTGATTCTTTGCCGGTCTGGGGTGCAGGGGTGGGACTCGCCACTAACCTGCATTATCATTCCCTGTCCTCTCAGTCATGCTTTTTACAAGTTGCCCAGGAACCCTGGAGGCCCCATATTCCCCCTTGCCCCTAAACAGCGTTTTTCTCCCACACTTTGAACATCGTGTTTGGAGGGTTAGATCACCTCCTCTCTTCAGTCACTCCCCTGCCCCCCGCCCCCTTCCTTTCTAGCAAGCACACGCGTTAGACCCTGCTCCCTTTTCCTGTTCCTCTCCCCCCTCCCCAAATTCACACATACACAGCTACTCACACACTCCACCTGCAACAGCCCTTCTCCCAGCAGACCACACACTCACTGTCATGTGCACCAACCCCTCCTCAGGCCCCTGCATATCCCATTACCTTTGGAAAATGCTCTGCGGGTCCAACCACCAGTAGGATAGTTGGTCTCCTTTCAGTGGGATCAGTCCCTCTGTCCTGTGTCTTCCCCAACACCTTTGGCCCTTTCTCCCCGGGGCCTGGAAGTGGGGTGGTGTTTCTGGCCTCATCCTCTTTTTCATCTGCAGGACCTTGGCATATGGCCCTGGGAAGGAAGCTAGACAGAAAATGCCACAGGGTCTGCAGCATTGCTGCTCCAGCGAGCATCCCAGGCAGGGAAACCCTGAGCGCTCAGGAGCTGCCCGCTGCCAAGGATGATGTGACTGCACTACCAAGCACCCCCGAGACGGGAACCGGCACGGCAGCCAGCGGGAGCTTCAACCCAGCGACTCCACCGGCTCCGATTCTTTACAGACCGCTCCTGCGGACGCTTCCTGCCTTTTGAAATTGCTGCTACTGCAGTCGTGCCTGGCCTGACAAGCAGCTCATTGTACCAGAGCCTCAGAAATCTGATGGCAACAGACAAAGCACAAGCCCCCGCGGCACGGAGAAGCCGAGACTGCTCGCGCAGAGAAGCCGAGACGCCCGAGCTAACGATGAACCTCTCCGACAGGAGCCTCTCAGAGCTGCCAAGCGAGCGGCGCGTCCCGGCTCCCGGCGATGCTGAGCACCGGGGCTGCGTCCCCACTGCAGCAGTGCCCAGCCAATCCGCGCTCCCGACACTGCGCTGCTCCGGAGCGCGGCCGCGCGCGCAGCCGCCCGGGAGCGCGCCCCGGGCGCGGGAGGCCGCCCGCAGAGGAGCGCGCCCGCGGCCCCGGGCACCGGCACTGACTGCTCCGGCAACCAGCACTGCCCCGGGCACCGGCACTGGCGGCCCCGGAGCGATGGGCACCGGCCGAGGGGTGCGTGTGCCTCCCCGGCTGCGGCTCTTTGTTAGGGCGGCAGATGGTTGTGCAGAGAGAAGCCGGCTTTGCCCAGCCGTGGCCGCATTAACCTCTAAGCGCACTCTCTCTCTCTCTCCCCGGTCTATTATGGTCTCATCCGTGCCTACAATAGCTCTCGGTGCTGCATTGTGCTGCCAGCACAGCGCCCACGGCCATTCATCAGTGTGAGAGAGAGCTGGGCTTAAAGCATCGCTGCTTGGCCGGCTGGCCGAGCTCTGCTGGAGGAACCTAGGCTAAGGTAGGATATTGATGTATGTAAGCACAGGGACACATGATATTGCTTGGATTTCCACAAGGGATGCCACAGCAGCATTTGTTCATTGATTAGTGAGCTGTATCGGCCTCCCACCATATCCCACCCTGCATTTTCCATTTTACAGTTCATCAATTTACTTCATATTCCCAGATTCTCTGTGTCCACAGAGGGCACTGCATGCCTCACTTCCAAAGTACTGCAATTCTTCCCTAAGTTTTGGCAGAAAAAATGAGTACAAACCCACAGCTTCCATCACCTGGGGCTACCCAACACAGCACAGCAAGAGCTACCAAGGACCTCAGTTTGCAGCTTTTAACTTTTGAGAGTGGCAGACTGCAGGGCACTTCCAGTATACAGATATTAGATGTGAAATACAATCCAAAATCTAAAAGGTCTGAGAGCCTTAAGCAGCCAAACTGCACATAAATTTTGAGATGAACATCACTTTTGGGAACTTGCTGTCATTGAATTCCTACAATGAACCTAAGTAATGGAAAAAGTGAGAGACAAGTACATAGAAGACACCACATTAAAAAAAATTCTTCTGCACATACACCAGAATTACTTAACAAGAAAAAAATGCTTTTTAATCACAAGGTCTATGTGCAGTATGCAACAAAGTTTTTTATCTTGAAATTTGACACATACCAACAAGTAACCACACATAAATTTTTTTTTAATTATGGGGCAGCACCACTGGGGTGAGGGTGTGGGAAAGCCCAGTCCCTCTGTGAGGAATGGCACAGCCTGGTTCTAGTTGGGATGCAGTCAGCAGCTCAGACAGAGGCAGAAAAGCCTGAGGAATTCTTGTCATGCCTCCATTACCCTGAGCTGCTGTCAGTCATCCCAGCTACAAGCACAAAAGTTAAACTACTTTCTAACACATAGTGAATCAGATCCTTTAAGATGACATTTGGAAGTTTTTAATGCTCTCAAGCCAAAGGAACAAAGCAGATTTTCTGAACTGGGCACAGTTCTTCAAAATCAGCTTCTATTAGCCTAAGGCTGTGGTTTCACAAGCAGCTGTGAACTAATCTCAAGCTTACTGCCACTACAAGTCATCTCACACATCCACTTAAGCCCTGCTCTTACCTTGCCCCCATGCTCTTCTGAAACCTCATGAACCCAGCCAAAGCCCTGCAGAGCTTTCCTGCTGAGGTAACCAGCTGAGGCTGCTCATGGATGGGGTCCAGAAAGCATGGAAAGGGCATCTGAGCTGCCTGCAGCAACAGGCAGGCTGCCCTGCCACTCACACAGCTACAAGTCACCATGCAGAAGGCAAAGCAGCCAAAGCAGAACTTGAGATTTGTCCTCTGTGGTCACTCAATACTCACAAGGCCCCATTTAACAGCTGATGTTACCTGACACTGTTACAATTGTTCCCCTGCATTTGTTTTAATATTAGTGGTGTGTGCACATCAGGGATCCCCAATCTTCCTTTGTTCATGCAGAGATTTCATAAGAAAATAATAATTTCTGCAAGAAATTACATGGCTGGGGTGTAATTAAAGCAGAAACTTAGCAATGCTTCTTTGGCCTCTGTCCTCACTAAAGGAAAGCTCAGAGGAATTCTGCCACCACACTAATTCTGCCTTGAGAACAGGCAGAAGTTTCTAATCATATTTAAGAAAAAAAAAAAATTAAAAAGCATTTATTTTACCAAGTGGGGAATTTTATTAGGCCGGAATTATAAACCTAGTAACAGCAAGATGATTATAGCTAGAAGCAAAACAACTGCACTCCTACAGGGAATTTGTAGGGAAATATTACTCTGCCAACACCACCAGGAAGCAAATCATTGACACAAAAAAGATGTAATAAATACTGAGAGTCCAGCATGAAAGGTGACACAAAGTCACACGAGGAACAAGAATTCACTTTTTCTGGAAATCATGAATGATCACCTAGACCACAGTGAAACAGCTTTCCCAACCTCAGCTCCATCAGGAGACAGCTATTCTGCAACTCCAGCTGCTGGCATGACCCAGACCTGGGGTTTAAGGCAGAAAAAGCAGGAGGGCTGATCTGAACGCTGGCTCCTGGCCAGCACACCAGCCATGGGGACAGCTGGCCTCAGAGCCCTGCACACCAAAATGGGGAGCCATTAGATAGCCTGGGCAGAAGCTGACAATAAAGAGCTGTAATCTATCCAAATGGAGACAAAAGAGAGAGAAAAAAGCAAGAGACTGACATGTTTGGCTCAATTATTTTTCTCAGTACTGCAAGCTGGCAGAGGGAGGTTCTGCATAAGCCATAAATTCAGGTATCCTGGTACCCTTTTCAGCCACATCATAATACCTGCTGAGTCTAAAACTCCACTTTTCAGACAGACACTTGCCTTTTCCAGGCTGGTACACTGGCAGAAATTAACTTTTGCTTTAAGATGGTTTCTAGAAGACTTTTGAGTAAATGCACAGTGTGAATTTGTGAGCCTCATCACCCACAACTTGCTAACATGTAAAAACTGTGAGAGGGAGGGCAAAAAGAAAGGGGGGGCAGTGACCCCTCTCCTCCTCCAGCACAGGAAGAGCTGCTGGCATCTCTGGTTCCTTGAGTGACCCTGCAGGAATGAGCAGTGACTCATCTCCTTGGGAGCCTCCTGGAAGCACCCCCAGGAGCCCTGCTGCCCACATGGGTGTGCACCCAGCCCCCAGCTGGGATGGGCCACCACGACTCTGCCAATCACCTCTCATCTTTTCAAATTTAACTTCTGAAAGAGGAAAGCGTTAAGCATGTCACTACTTCACACTTCTTAAACAGTTGAAGTTAACCCTGCACGGTGCTTCTCACACCATGACATAAAATCTCAATGCCTTGGCCACTGCTGCTTAAATAATTTAAGTGTCTGGTGACATTCAAGTACTTTCATATATTAAGGTGACACAGCATAGCTCAGGGAACACTACACAGCAACCCAGGTCTCCTTGTTACAGAAACCCTGGCACAAGGAATGAGCTACCCAGGCTGATCTATTCAGGCATCCACAGCCAGTGCCAAATGCAAAAATACAGAGAGAGCTGGCCAGGGACAGGGAGCACAGAGCCACTGCCCAGGACTGAGAGTTCCACCAAGGTCATATCATGTTATATGGAGAGAGGGATTAACCAAGAGACAGAGCATCCTTAATACTCAGAAATTAGAGAATCAACTTCTTGCTGCACCAGACAGTTAAGAAGAAAGCAGGTGGTGAGGAAGGATAGCCCTGGCCCAGGCCTGCCCCCACACAGCTCTCCTCAGGCTAAACTATGCAGGTTCACATACCAAGCAGCTCTGCCTTTCCAGGCAACTCATGATCTAAAAATTTCAAATATTTCTCTTAGAGCAGAATTCTCCACTGCAAACCACTTTAGCTGCCAGAAGCCTCCCTGCAGCTCATGACTTGGGAGTTCGAAAAACTCAGGCATCCCAGCTGCCTTGCCATGAGTTATCACAGCTATGCTTCTTCACCCAAGACAAAGGCTGGGCCATCATTAAACTGTGCTCATGTCCCACATTCACAGGGACAAATATAGCAGTAGGACATGAACAAGAACAAAGGCTCATTTCCCATTTGCTACAAGTAGGGCTGTAGGAAAAAGCTCCCTCCCCCTTTTCCTCCTCCCAGCACTGTATCATGTTATGCTGTGTGCAACCAAGGGCCCAGGGCTGCAGCTTCACCATCTTGTAGGGCTCTCAAACAAAACACCAAGTCCTTATTGTGGCTTTGATGTCTTTTATTAATGCTCACCAACCATTTAAAGGTTCTGTTCAATATTCAGCTAGATTTTAAAAACAAAATTTAAAAGAAACAGTAAATATGCTGAAGTCTGGAGGTTTTTTACCTGCTGTTATCTCAGTAATCTGACACCTCCCTGAAATAAGGTTTTAGGAAGTTAACCTCTTTTCCAGAGTAATCAGCAACTGCACAAGAGGAAATGGCCTCAAGCAACACCAGGGGAGGTTCAGGTTGGCCATCAGGAAGCATTTTTTCACTGAAAGGATTGTAAGGCACTGGCACAGGCTGTCCAGTGAGGTCACCATCCCTGGAGGTGTTCTCAAAACAATTTAGTGCTAGATTAGGTAATACAGTGGTGCTACATCAAATGTTGGACCCTATCCTGGAAGTCTTTTCCAACATTAACTATTCTAAAAATCTGTGCAGATGAGGGCAAGGAGATGTCCACTACTTACCAAGGCATTGAGTGCTGGTCACTAAAACATGTCCCACAGAACACACTGAAAGACCAAAGCCCTGCTGCACATTCTACACAGGCACAATCAGCTGCTTTGGGTGAGTTCTGTTGTTTCATTCCACTCAGGCTGAGGAGTTCCCACAGGCATTCACTCCCTACACAGTTCAGAACAGACCCCATCCTGCAGGAAGCAACGCTGTGAGGCCACATCAGTGATATTCAGGATGCCCTTCTACTCACACAATGCTGACATTTAAAATTTCTATGCTCTAGTCCAAGTTGCACCTACACCTCTCAAAGGTCAGCCAGCAGCCCTTGGTCATCAG